GCGTGTTTGCCCCCTAGATCTGCACAGGGTGGGGAGGCTGGAGCCAGCACTGCATGATTCTTCTTTGCCAGGTGCAGCCTGGCTCCATGTGCCACCTCCACCCACATGCTGAGAAGAACCAAGACTGCGCTGGACAGCTAGCAGTAGCGGCACTGGTAGCAATGCTGCAGTGAAATGTAGGGTGGCTGCAGCCCCATCCCAGCACCGCTGGTGCCCGCTCCCAGGCTCTTCCAGCGCTGCATGGGGCTCTTCTCAGCAGGGGTGAGCTAAGAGCAGGCACTGGGAGGGGGCTGCAGCCGCCCCAAATTTTGCCACAGCTCTACTCCCACCAGCCTCCTAACAGTCTCGGCTCTTCCCAGTGTGCGGGTGAAGGCGGGACATGGAGCCAGGCTGCACCTGGTGGCACAGGGCTGGAAGCAGAGCAGCAGCGAAATTTGGGGTGGCTCCAGCCCGCTTTGAGTCCTGCCGGTGCCTGTTCTAAGTACAGCCCGCCCACCCTGTGCAGATCCGGGGGCCACATGCCCCCCTGCCCTTCCGGGGTGCAAGCAGCAGCAGGAGCTGCCCCCCACCATGAGTCATGTCTCTGTCCTGTGCTCCTGCTCCCTGGGCAGCACCTGTCCCTGCCCCCTCCCTCCCTCACCGTGGGGGCGTTGATCTGCCCTTCCCTCCCACCACAACAGACTTACCACCTGGAGGCAGTTGTATCAGGTATTGGGTTGGTATCAGTCGATATGCCTCCTTAAATATCAGCTATCAGTATTGGCCCCCAAAATCTCTATCAGTGCATCCCTAAAAAAATCTTTATCAGTGTACCCCTAGAACAAATATTTAGAGAAAATAAGGAAGTTCTTTCTTTTTTCAGAGGAGAAAAAGGTGTTGTAGTTGGAAGAACTTCTTTTTTGCAGTGTATTTAGAGGGAAATAGATTGTTAGCCACAGTAACAATGGGTTCATCAGTGAACTTTGTTCTTTGCTGCTCTCCTCCTCCAGACTGTTACTCTTTCAAGCATTTCCCTTCAGAAGTTTGACAGAACAGAAGCTGTTACCTCTTGGCAAGTCCTTTGAGAAAGCCTTTGCATAATACACAGTTTGTTCCCTGGATGTGTAGGCATTTAGATGAGCTCCCATGTTTTCAATCTCTAGTTCCAGGTCTAACTGAGACCTCTTTTTTGACCCCTGAAAATAAAGAAAATTTATTTGGACTCTGGAATCTTCCTGCCTGCAAAGTAACTTTGCCAAATGAGGAACAGGGAAATAAAGACTAAAAGCTCATTGTAAGCATAAGAGATTAAAGTGCCTTTGGAAAAAGGCTAGCACACAAGGCTCTCCCCACAGCAGACCAGATTAAAAGCCTTGAAAGGAAAAATTAACTAGGGGACAGAGTAGCTATTTGTCTACTACAAAGATTAGTGCAAGCCAGTAGGATGTAAGAATATCAATGTCAGGAATGAGCCAGGATGGATCAACTGAGGCTTGAATTTCAGCCTCCGTTTAATTGGGACATATTTAAAAGGTTTGCTTTTGACTTGTGATTTTGAATATTCAAAAACTAAAAAAGTTCCCAGTGCTATTCTTAAAGAATAAAAAAGTATGCTTGCCTTGAAAGCCATATGCTCCAAAAAGTGAGCTGTTCCATTGTTCTTTTCATTTTCATATCTGCTTCCAGCATCAATCCAAAGTCCAACCTCATTAAAAACAAAAGATTAGTCTCATTAATAAAACACAGCTGTGAAGTTCCTGCTTGATTTTTCATTAGCTAAAACTTGGGACAAAAGACTGTAAGGGAATTTTCAAAAGGGACTAGTGATTATGGGTGATCACTTTTGCTTAATGGAGCCAGATATTCAGATGATGAATATCTAATGTTTGAAATTCAGAGCCCTTAAAAGGCACCCGACATTGAGCACCCAAAAATTACTAGTCACTTCTGAAAATGCTGGCCCTACTGCTCATTGAAACATGTTTGTTACTAACAAGTTATTGCTACTCCTTGTGCTTATTACTTGTAATGAAAACAGCAAGCTTGATTTAAAATAGATGCTCATGATTAGGAAAACAAACAAACAAACCAACCAACAAACACATTTCACTCACAACAGTTACCTACTGTGCATGTCGAAAGGCCAGAATCTTCAGAAGCTACTCGCAGGCCATTTTCCAGAGAAGACACCTTAGTCTCAGGAACATTTAAGACTACTTGTGTTGCTGCTTGAGTCGCTCTGAATCTGCTCACCCCAAGATGTATGGGCTGTAAAGAAAAGCCATTAGTTACAAACTACAGGTATTATCCTCTGCTGCTTCTCAGGAATGTTTGCCTGAATTTGAAGGCATGAGGTACTTGTTGGTTTTTAAAATTAGCACTAACTTGGTGATCACTAATCTACACAGCAGAGATGCCCCAACTGTGTGCCCATGCTGAGGGTGTGAAGAAGACTGAAATCAGACTTCAGACAGCTTCCTTCTTAACAAAACCAGCTGGAGAGAATGTGAGATCAGTGGTTAGAGACCCTTGTTCAAGTCCTAGTTCTGCCACAGACATCCTCCATGAACTTGGCAAGCTGCTTAAGCCCATATCTACAAAAGGATGTGGATGCCTAAAGTAGGGCTAAAGTGGCATTTTGGTACCTGTGCTCAGGAGCAGGCTACTCAAAACCCCATCTAACCCCAGAGACACCCATGATGTCTCTGACATCCTACTGACTTGCACTAATCTTTGTAGTAGACAAATAGCTACTCTGTCCCCTAGTTAATTTTTCCTTTCAAGGCCTTTAATCTGGTTTTCTGTGGGGAGAGCCTTGTGTGCTAGCCTTTCTCCAAAGGCACTTTAATCTCTTATGCTTACAATGAGCTTTTAGTCTTTATTTCCCTGTTCCTCATTTGGCAAAGTTACTTTGCAGGCAGGAAATTCCAGTCCAAATAAACTTTATTTTCAGGGGTCAAAAAAGAGGTCTGTTAGACCTGGAACTAGAGATTGATGGGTAAAGTTCCTTACCCCCCTTACATTTGACACTTGTGCATGCTAAAAACTGTCTCCATCTTGACAGGTCTGAGCTGCTCACCATCTATCACCGCTCAGTGGCTCAAGCCTGCAGGCATATTCAGAGCCACTGATCCTACCTACTACAGCCCTACTGAACTGAGTGCTACAGGACACACAGTGGCAGTGGTCTCTCTCATTCAGAAAGGAGGAGAACAACAAGGTGCTGTTTCTTTTTTTAATAAAAGTGTACAGATGATAGCAATCGCCTAAGGATTTCCAACACCAAGTTTAATGTCCTCCTCAAATTGAGGGGTTCACACCTACAACTCCCTCCTCCTAGTTGTGTGCTCTAACTGGCTACAGGTAGGGTGCCCATAATAACTTGAGGGAAGTCCAAGACACAGTAAGGAAATCCAGGGAGGAGGGGCACCAGTGGACGTGCGGGTACGCCCCCCACAACCCCACGGCTGCCCGTGAACACCCCTCCCTCCACTCTATTGGGCAAGCGACTCCACTTGCAACCCAGCACAGTCTGGACCAGGGAGCAACCCATTAGCTGAGCTCCCCCAAGAAAATTGAAGCAAAAAACCCGGATTGGCATAAACACGCTCCTACGTGCACGGCTCCTAACTCAAGAGCTGCATGTGCAGATGGATTCCTACCAATCCAGGATTTTTACTCCAATTTTGTCCAACAGCCAGGACGCTGAGACAGCCCCTGAAATCTGGGACTGTCCCAGCCGACCCAGGACATGTGGTCACCCTAGCTATAGGCTAGCCCAGGGGCTATTTTATGCACAATATACATAAACAGTCCCTGAAACGCAGGTCTCCCCCTTCCCAGGTGCATGATGTAACCACCAAACTAGCATCATTCACAGATGTGCTCTTTCTGACCTAGTGAATCTTAAGTTCTTTTTTGCAAGATCAGACGGTTTCAAAAGAAGCTCAGAGTTCCCCAAACCCCAAATAACCAAGGCGAGAGATGTACTTTTAAATCCTCTCGTGGTCAAAATAGTACTGACACCAGTGTCTGAAGCCTTGGGAGTACACTAATGTGTGCAACCAGGGGGATGCGGCCCCCTCTGCCAGACCTATTTTAAATGAAAGGAAGAACCTTAGCAGCTCCCCCAGGACCACAGGGCCAAGCCCCCCCCCCCCACCGCCCAGCTCCCAGCATGCAGCACGGCCCCACGCCTGCTAGCTGCACTGACTACAGATCCCAGCATTGCAGCGCGGCCCTAAGCACACTGACTGCGTGGTGACTACAAGTCCCAGCATGCAGCGCGGCCCCAGGGACATTGGCTGCACTTAGATACAGACCCCAGCATGCAGCGCGGCCACAGCAGCACTTACACTACAGATCCCAGCATGCTCCGCGAACCCGTTACAAGCCGGTGTCCGGCACTCGGAGCCAGGGCAGTCGTTGCCAGACCCAGCCCGCGGCTCTGCATCGCGCGCCCGTCACTCACCCGGTTCCTACAGGCCGAGCCCCGAAATACAAGGCGACGAGACCAAGCCCCGAAGAGCCGTCGAGCCACTAAGCAACCCGCACTCGTCGCCGCCGCCATGTTGATGCAGAGAGCGGGGGCGGGACTTCCGGCAGTTATGTCACGAAGGGGGAGGGGAGGGCGGAAGTAAGGGGCGCATGCGCGGCTGGGCGTGGGGGTGAGGTTACGTCGCGGGCGCAAAGCTTCTCCGCTCCTTTAGTGTCTGTAGGTGGGGCCGGTGCTGCACGTGTCTGATCGCGGTCGTGTTTGTACATAATTTCAACCACCGTAGGATGTACGATCAGTAATAGTAAAAGTGTTCAAAATGTACCATACTTTTTGAAGGCAATCAGGACTCGTAATAGAGATTATATCTTATATTAGACCAAGATATTTGCAAAAAAAAATTCTTTAATTGCAAGCTTTTGGGCACAAAATTAAAATGAAATTAATCGAAAGCTTGCAATTACATTTTTATTTTTTTTTTGCAAAAATCTTGTTGGTCTAATAAAAGAGATCTCTCTATGAGTTCTGCTTGTCTTTTTCTCTAGACCAATATGGCTACAACCTGGATACCATCCTTTTTGAGGCAGTTCATTGATGCTGCATGTGTAAACACGTCACTCCCAGGGAGCCTCCACTGATTTGGGGTGGGGTGGGGGTTTTTTTTGTCTTTTTATAATATATTTCATGTTCTGGGTCAAATCAGCCAAATCCGCTCCAAAGCACATTGATTGAGCAGAACTCAATCTTCCCAAAAACCATGTGAGGCACTGCAACCACAGTTTTGCCAACTCTCATTCTTGGTGTTGTTCTTAAAGTGTACGCTTTGGACATGCGAAAAATGTAGCTCTTTCTTTTATAGATAAATATAAATATTCTAATATAATCCAAGCCTTGTCTGTGTGTCTGTCTATCCGTAACGCTTTGTGCCAATTGTGCATGCACCGCCCAAGGGGCGGGTACCGATTGGCTGGCCCTGGCAGGAGCGGGCAGAACTTTGCACCAGGGCTCAGGAGAGTGGGTGGGTGTGGTCGGGGCAGGGAGCTGCTGTGCATGGCACTTCCACCCCTCCCCCAAACAGTTGACAGGGATGGGAGCAGGGAACAGGAAGTGGGGGGGGTTCCTGATGGCGGCCCACAGCGCCCCCCCCCACCGCCATCATGGCCCACAGCTGCTGGAAGGGCTGGGGGCGACAGGCTGATGCTGGCAGGGAGTGGACTATGCTGAGCCCAGGCTGGGTCATGGGGCTATGGGAGCCCTGCAGCTACTCCAGAGGCATGGGTGGGTGGCTCCCACCACTGCACGCACTGTGGGGGAGGGGAGCAGGGCCCGTGCCACCCGTTGGCTCCCCCATGCCGTGTCCCTGCATGAGCCACTGGGCTCTGATTGCCCCACAACCCAGCCCGGCCGAGGCCATGTTCACAGTGAATGGGGCCCCGGCCGGGTTGGGCCACAGGACACTCGAAACCCAGTAGCTCTTCCAGAGACAGCGCCGGGGAACCTAGCAGGGCACGTAGCCCTCAGTCTGTGCATGGGGCAGGGGTGGCTGCAGCTGCAACCTCGGCTCTGCCTCTGCTTCTTGCCTCACTGCGGCTGCTTTCATACATGAGTCCTGCCACTGGGCAGGCCAGGCAGCAAGGCACATGCATGTGGCGTGTGGCTGGGTGTATGTGTGCGTGTGCGTGTGTGTGTGGCATGTGGCTGGGTATGTGCGTGAGTGTGTGTCTGAGGTGTGGGAGGGTTCACAGGGCCAGACATAGAGCGGAGGAGGGGGCTGTGTGAGACTAGACATGAAGTGGTGGCCACATGGGCCAGTGGGTAGCGGTGCTCCATCCCTGCCACCCACCCGTCATTCTTGACAGGCAGTTTGCTAGTATATAAAAGAAAGAGCTAAGTTTTTCACATTCCCAAAGCGGAGACTTTAAGAACAATGCCAAAAATCATGAGTTGGCAATACTGCAACCGGCAAGCATCCTCCACCCCAGACCTACTGCCCTGGGACTTCAGATACTCCCACATCCATTGGCAGGTATCCTGTGTGCAGGCCCAAGCCTGGAGGTCTTGGGGTTCAGATGCCCCCAGATGTACAGGCAAGCATCCTCCATCCCAGAGTCTTAAGTCTGGGACTGCAGATACTCTTTAAGCTCAATCTTAGCCCACAAGAGGCTGAAAAACTAAGCATGGTATTAGTCCAAAGCCAAATGGCTTTACTATACAACTGATAAGAGATTTATTTTATTAGAAAATGTTAAAGCTTAAGGTTACAAAGTTCAAAGCAGAAGGAAATGCAAAGGACCCGAGCAAGGAGTTACGTAGTACAGGAGGGGAGCATAACTAAATTACATAGGGGGCGGGGGAATTGAGTTCCTCGAAAATTGTGGGAACGGAGGAACTTCATACATACATCAGAGTTGCTTAAGCAGCTCTCATAATCCTATGATTCACAATTCACAGAAGTTGGCAAATCTGCTATTCAGGGGCCTCTAAAATATCATCAGCCTCATTCCAGTTTCTAATGTCCATGTTACTTCACTCTACTACGGTTCTTACTGAACAACCCCACCTTGACAGATTTGGCTCAGAGACCCTGGCCTGAGTAGGCTATTAAGAATGCCTCACTCTCAGATCTGGTCTAAAATCATAGAAAGTTAGGGTTGAAAGGGACCTTAGGAGGTCACCTAGTCCAACCCCCTGCTCAAGGCAGGACCATCCCCAACTAGATCAGAGCTTTGTCAAGCCAGGACTTAAAAACCTCCAAGGATGGAGATTCCACCACCTCTCTGGGTAACCTATTCCATGTTTTCCTACCCTCCTAGTGAGAAACTTCTCACTAATATCTAACCTCAACTTCCCTTGCTGCAACTTGAGACTGTTGCTCCTTGTTCTGTCATCTGCCACCACTGAGGACAGTCTAGCTCTTTTTTGGGTGAAGGGCCGCTTACTGAGTTTTGGCAATCCATCGAGGGCCACATCACAGGCAGCAAGGGGCAGATAAATATTAATTTTCTAAAATTTTGAGGGGTCCTGCGGGGGGTGCCGGCGGGCCGGATAAAATGGCTGGGCAGGCCACATCCGGCCCATGCGCCACATTTTGCCCACCCCTGGTCTAGCTCCACCCTCTTTCAAATCCTCCTTGAGGTAATTGAAGGCTGTTATTAAATCCCCTCTCAGTTTACCCATAGAGTTCCAGAATAGCTCTCCTACTTTACATTCATAGCTTACCTTACTGTGAAATACAGCTAACATATAAACTGGCTTTTATTTCTGAAATGTTCTCTCCAGCTCAGGGTGCAAATATAAAGAGCAGATAGAGCAGAGAACTTGCCTGTGTCACAACCCAAAAGGTGTAATTTTTATTTGTGTGTGCTTCGGCACTGCTAAATTGTCCCCGCTAAATTGCAGCTTCCTTGCACAGTGGAGTTTTCTGCTGCAGAGGAGAACCCCGGTGCAAGGGAGAATTTCCCGCCAATTTGGAGCTCGTTTTGCAGGGTGCATTTCTTTGCTGCAGAGAGGGGATGCTCGTTGCAAAGAGTTCCCGCCATTGGTATGCTAATTCGAGTCCCATTATTGGCCAGTTCTAAATTATTCACACGTGGCGGCTAGTGATTGGCTTGCTAGCCGTATAAAAGGCTTGAGTGGTTTCCGCCCAAGTTGGAGGACTCCACGAACAAGGGAGGAGGAGATCTTCACGCTGTGTGAAGATCTCTAAGCGCTGCGGATCCTCACGGACCCAGTGCATTTGAAGCAGGCAACGGAGATCTGATCAATCTCTAGCCTCTCCCCGTCGCCGATAGAATTCCTAGACATATCCCTCCCGCGCGCTACGAACCGAACCCGCGGAGCCTAGCAAACTTCGTGTGGATGAGTGAACAGAAGAACCCATGGAGCCTGACAAACTTCGTGTGAGCCCTTACGATCGGCCTCAGAGCTCTTCTACCCGGGTTCGAGTCCTGCAGGTTTATTTTCTCGTCGTCAGAACCCTATGCGACGTACCCTCATGTTCTGCAGGTTCGAGTTTTTGTTTTCTTTTCTCTTTCTGTAACTGCAACTTAATCAAGCTTTCCAGCCTACACCATTGCCATCTCAGTGTAAGTAAACAATCTTTTAAACTACCGATATGCGTCCGTGCCTAATTCCAGAGCGAAGGCCTTCCCTCTCCGCCCCCGCGTGCCCGGGCTGCTGGCCACAGCCCGTGTGCAGCGCAAAAAGGGCTCAGGGCGCTCCCGGCCCGCGCAGCCTGTTGCTCCACCTACTCTATGGATAAGAGAGGATTCCATTCTCTCAATTTCCCTATTCTATATTATAGACTATAGATTATAAACATTATAATCACATTGAAATAATAAAATGATATAAGCAAATACAGGACAAATTACATATGTTTAAAAATGGAACTGGAAACATGTTTAAGGTACAAGGCAGGAGACCTAAACACAAAGATTGATATATGGCCAAATACCTTTCGTAGATGAGCCTAGGAACTTCATGAATCTACTGGATACAAAAAATCATGCACTAAATATAGACATTGGCTTTATGGCACATTATAACCTGGCACATTATAACCTGCCTGCCATCTGATAACCCCAGGTAACCTGTCTGCATTTTACCAGCTACATTCTTCCCCCTTTTCCAGCCCCTTTCTCTCACCTATTGCTTCACAGGGCCCCTGACCTCCCCTGCCATGCATTTGCATTTTCATAGACCAGCGTTTTGCATACTGGCTTCCATTCTACCCAGGGAAGGACACACAGAAACAACAAACTCTCCCTGTGCCTGAAGAAGGGTGTTTGTACCCAAAAGCTTGTAAAGAACACTTTTTCCAACTATTTAGTTGGTGTAATAACATATATCACATTTACCTAAAGAACTTTGCTTGCCTATGTTCTTAGACCAACACGGCTGTGACCAACAACCCTAAAGATTGATATATGACTTTCAGTTTGACAAAGATCCTTTACATATTTAAATATGGATTTCATCCACTGAAAGTGTTATTGTTGTTGTTATTTGATATTCATATCACATTAGCAACCACCCCTATGTGCTAAGCACTCCTCAGGCAAAATAGACCTATCCTTGTTCTAAAATGCTTACAAGTTAGGCCAAGTAACTCCTAGGAAACAGAG